CCCCCCCCCCCCCCCCCCCCGCTTCATGCCTGTACACTGGAGTTATTCCCAGGTAGATGAGGATTGCTTACCAACGTCTTCAGGTGGGGGGGACAGGCTCTTGATCTGTTTTTGCTTGTGACAGCTTAACTACAGTTTACTTGAGTGTATTATTTTAGTACTCTTCATTGTACACCGTGTCACTAGTCAGAGCACACAGATCCAGATCTAGCTGCTCATTTTCATGGGTATTTTGTATCGGCTTTTCAAAGCTGCAGGGGTATTAGGTAGTCAAAAAACATGTTAGAAACAAAATAAAAATGAGTGAACAACAATGTGGATGCTTTCATGCTTATCCACTGGTACTTTAATGAGCAGTATCAGCTGTTGTTGTTTTTGTGTTAGTAATGGCATGTTTTATTGTATATAATATTCCAAATGTAGAAAAGAGTCTAATGCCTGTGTCTTTATTAACAGGTGATATTTTTAGCTGTCATGCTGTAGACAATCCAAAGCCTCAGGCAGAGCTGGCCATGCTTAAACAGTACGGTCCTGATGTTCCTGAAGCCACTCTGCAAAAACTGGTCGCTGCCTTTGGAGAGCTAAGGTCCATGGCAGATCAGGGCACCATCTCCTACCCTTACTCAACTCGAGAGGTGGTCAACATTGTTAAACACCTCCAGGTAAAACAACACAGAGTGTTCCATCAACATGCCATAACTATATATTTGTTATATTATTACAGGTTTAGTGTCCGGTTGGTTTCTGTCAGTCATTTACTGCAATGTTAGATGCTTTAATAATGAAAATAAAAAGAAGGGTATACTCAGCTGTGTTAAAGATCGCAATGCATTGCACAAGGACGTTTTCACATTAGGGAACTTAGACACTTTCTGGTCACATCGGTGTTCTAGTAGTACAAAGTACTTACTACTGTGGAAGCTGCACCATTCAGCCAGTCAATCTTGCACTATAGTCTTCCCTCATTTGTGAACGAAACCCAGAAATACTTACATTTATCCACTTGAGGCAACACCTCACTCCCAGCCTGGCGAGGGCAGTCCACCAGAGGCTATGACCTTAGATTTGGTGCTGATCTTCATTTCAGCTTTTTCTCACTTGGCCACTTCAATGAGAGCTTGTCTCAATGACTCCAACAGAACCAAAACATCTACAAAATAGCAGAGATGGAATCCTGAACTTGCCAAACTGGATCCCTTCTGCCTGCTGGCTTCACTGAAAAATGTTGTTTTATTAAACAGCCACAAACAGAATCATTGACAATGGTCAGCCCTGGTGAACTCTGACTTTCACCCTGTGTGAACCAGACTCCGTTTGTGTAGAGACTGAATGACCCATAACAACTGGTCTCAATCTTATACTCGCACACAGATATAGGAGGGGGTGCTCTGCAAGTATCTTTTGTCAGCTATGAATATAAGCTTGTACTACTCTTTTATACAGTTTGTCATTTTATTTACTGATGGATAATTCTTTTATTGTTTTATTTTCTGTCCTTTCAGTTTAAAGACCTAATAACACATTTACAGTACGTGTCAGTAATTTGTTGTCTTCCAGAATCATTTAACTTGGACTCTTTAGAAACTTTCTTTGCCTCACTCACTACATTTTTAACAATTTTCATAAAAGTGTAAATGTCTTTGAGTTTTTTATACTGTAAAGTATACTGGTAAGTGAATACAGTATATCACTTTCTGTGCTCCAATTTCCCCCAGAGAATAAAAGACTGTCATTAATTCATGGTTTTGTTGTATAACTCGCCAAATATTGTATTAATCTTTGTATTGACTGTTTTTTTTCCAGTTTAATACTGCAGTGTATATTTTATTTTTCTATATACAGTGCCTATAAAAAGTATTTACCCTCTTGGATGTTTTACCCTTTAATTATTGTCATAAATCAATTGTGCTTAGGGTTGGTTTGTTATGCTCTTATAGGCTTATATGATTAGAGGACAAATTGGACAGATTTATTTAAATGAATGGTTAAACTTCCTTAAATGAGTTGTTAAAATTGAGTAGTTTTCATCTGATACTATTTCTATCTTAACATGTGATTCTTGACCTGCCATTGTGTATCTGTTCCTCTCAAACCCAGCCAGTCGAAGCAGATGGCCGCTTGTCCTGAGTCTGGTTCTGCTAAAGGTTTCTTCCTCATGAGGGAGTTTTTCCTTTCCACTGTCGCCTTCATGCTTGCTCAAGATGAGAGTTCTGCGATGGAGTTAAATTCAAAGCAGTCTGCTCCTCAGATAAATAGTGTTAACTTTTTTTTTATGTATATGAATGTTTCTGTTCAGTGCCCTGAGATAACATTTGTTGTAACTTGATACAGTAAATAAACTGAATTGAAACTGAATTTAAATCGGTCCATATAACTTGGCCTTCTGCATAAAAGAACAATTACAAAAACTTCTTCAATGTCAAAGTGAAATCATATTTCCTTAGAGTAATCTTGACTTGGCTTTGCTCATGAAGATCAAGGGTTGGGACAGTTCATGTCATCAGCAAGCATGCTGGTGGCTGATAAATTCTGGACAGGCAAACTTTGCTCATGTTAGTGACTGATCAGGGGTTGAAGCAGGGTTTTTATTATTTCTTCTGCTTCTTTTTTCCTCTAGGCTGGTGCTGCATGCAGACGTAAAAGCTGCTACTTGCTTGCGGGTAGTGTTGTGCCAGCTTGTTCTGTCAGCTGCAAGAGAGGACTTGGTGTGGGTGTCAATGTAGCATGTGGTTAGGGAGGTCTTGAGGACATCCTTGTACCTTTTCTTTGGGACACCGCTGCTGTGATGCCAAGAGGACAGTTTCCATACAGTACAACCTTAGGCAGGCAGTGTCCTCCATTCTGGACATGTGCCCTACCCAGTGCAGTCGTTCATGGAGGAACATTGATTGATTGATTGATTGATTGATTGATTGATTGATTTTTATTGTCAATTCTGCATATGTACAGGACATACATAGAAATTGAAATTGCGTTACACTCCTACTCAAATTGCAGCAAACAACAACAACAGCAAAAATAAACTAACACAACTAGTTATATAAAAAAAATATATATATATATATATATATATAAAAAAATATAAAAGTGAACAGCAGCAGGACCTCTGATGCAACGTGCTCAATAGTCACTAACAGGAGACAAAGGGACGCTGACTGAAGACAATAACATGATGAGAGGTAGATAATGGATGTGCAAGGCCAGAGTAAACAATAGTGCAATATAAAGTATAAACCTGAGAAACTTAGTAAAGTGAAGGTGTGCATACCGGTTCTATATAGAGTCACAGTTATGTACTGATGAGGTGATTATGTGGAAATGACAATACCAGAATTACCAGAATAAAGAATAAACAGGACGAGTTGATCATAACAGTAGTGCAAAATATAATGCAATAAACAGTAGAGTGAGCTTGTAGGCTGTTAAAGTGACCGATTCATGAACTATTCATAAAACTAAATAAATGTCCCAGAGCAGTTTTGAAGGGGGG